CTGGAACAAAGAGCCATGATGTTTATCAGCTGCACAAATTAAAAAGTTGGTCAGTAAAGCCCAGCTCCCAGATCCTGTCAGCTCCAGCGTTGCCTCCCACCACAGCCTTGCATACATAGCCCACGCCATGCTAGTTATTTGTAACTCATTTGCCTGAATGGGCCAAGCTCCTGTGTTTTCACACATGCTTTTTCTGGCCGGGACCCTGTTCTCATCCCACCTCTGTCTTTAAACTGCTGTCTTCAACTCCACCTCTGAGTTATCTCCACTTGTTCCTTGGTATTCACTTCAGTTATCATTACTATCTAGTAGATGCCGTGAAAATGACTGAAGGATGGATGGTGAACTATGGCCCCTTAGCATTTCCCAGGTGCTTAGTTGTCAGTGGTTTCATCGGTTAGCCAAAAGTGCCACCTAGTGGCATATGTAGGAAATAGCAATTCCAATATCTCACTAAAAGGGACAATACTTGTAAAGAGGCCAGGCCTTTCTCCCCACAACTACCGTGTTTTCCCGAAAATAAGACATCCTCCGAAAATAAGACCTACTTACAGTTTTCCTTCTGAGTGAAATACAAGGCATCCCCCCGAAAATAAGCCCCACCCACCCCCCACCCACCCCCCCGCTAGGCTAAAAGAGAGATTTGGTCCACTGATTCTGAAAGAAATGGAGTCACAAGAAATTCACCAGGAAATTCAGGAATTGGATTATGATGATGTTCCAGAAGATGATGACATGATTGTCATTAAATAAATGAGAAAATTCTTGATACTGTAGGATTCAGTTTGTCTGGTTTGTGTTGACAACTACCGTACTACTGTACCATATACAGGTAATAAATTTCCTTTATTTTTATTTAACAATAAATGTGTACCGTATTCTTCTTCATGGAAAAATAAGACATCCCCTGAAAATAAGACCTAGCGCATCTTTGGGAGCAAAAATTAATATAAGACACTGTCTTATTTTCGGGGAAACAGGGTAGTACACATAGTAGTGAGAAACTACCGTTTCTTGGCTAAGTAATTTCATATTCTCTACCTCACTTAAAACTGCTGCCAGGTCTGAAGTGGGTGTCATTCTTTTCATCTTACAGATGCAGAGTCTGAAGTTCAGAGAGACTTCCTTAAAAGCCCATTTTGCAGGATTGAAAGAAAATAAAGAGGGAGAGTACGTCATGACAAGTCCTTTTTTGAGCCCTCAGAGTGGGAATCTGTCACTTAGAAAGCTGATAGAGCCTTAGCTGGCTTGGCTAAATGGACAGTTTTAGCCTTCAGACTGAAGGGTCCTGGGTTTGATTCTAGTCAAGGGCACATGCCCGGGTTGCGGGCTTGATCTACAGTAGGGGCCGTGCAGGAGGCAGCAGGTCAATGATTCTCATCAGTGATGTTTCTCTCCCTTCCTCTCTGAAATCAATTAATAAAAATTTAAAAAGCAAATCTTTTTTTTAAGTTGATAAGAAGGATCTCATTTTTTAGGTAATTAAAGATGATCCCTGTCAGTGATGGCAAAAAGGAACACTAAGGAAAATAATCTTGGTAATAACAAGACTCCAAGGAATCAAGAGGTATCTATCATGTTGAAGCCAGTGAATTATTGGGGACGAGTCACAATCAATGAAAGAATAAGACAGAATTTCTCATGGTGGGTTTGCAGTGCGCTAAGTGGAGGTGGTGAGGTCAATGTGTGTGTGGCATGAGCTATGTGATGGGAAGCTAGTGAAGAAATCCCATTAATGGTTGGAAGCCAGGATGATTTGCTAGTGAGGAACTTGGAAATCCCTGAGAAATATGGGTTTTCAACAATGGGTGTTGTGCTGAGAGGGTCAGAAGTCAGACATGATCATGGTGGACAAAGTTTAGAAGCCTTAAAATCTTCATTCCACTTTGGCCATGCCTCTAATCAGCATTTGACCATCAGCAAGTAACTTGAAAACCCTGTGTTGTGCCTTATACTGGACATTTACTAATAGATAGTGCTTTTTCGGGGAAGGGTAACAGTTTTATTGATTTGTAATTCACACCACATGTAATTCAGCTAAATGCAGTTTACAACTCAGTGTATTGAGTATATTCACAGAATTATGCCATAATTGCCACAATTTTAGAACATGTCATCTCCCCAAAGAGAGACCCTGTACTTACACCCCCAGCCCTATGCAATCATTAATCTACTTTGTTTTCTGTAGATTTACCTATGATACACATTTCATGTACATGAAGTTAATGTGATTTTCCTATAACTGACTTAGCATGTTTTTTAAAAATATCTTTTTCATTGATTTTTTACAGAGAGGGAGAGAGAAAATTGATCAGCAGCCTTCTGCACAACTCCCACAGGGGATGTGCCCACAACCAAGGTACGTACATGCCCTTGACCAGAATCAAACCCAGGACCCTTGAGTCCACAGGCCGATTCTCTATCCACTGAGCCAAACCGGTTTTGGCATTTAGCATGTTTTTAAGGTTCATCTATGTTGTAGCATGCATCAAGTCATTCCTAGTTTTTGCCATTTGTATTCATGACTATTTTATCCATTCATCACATGGACATTTTGCTTGTTTGGGGCTCTTATGAATAATGCTGCTGTGAACATTTATGCACAAGTTTTTATGTAGATACATTTTCAATTTACCTTGAGTATGTATATATACCTAGGAGAGGAATTTGAGGCCATATTGAACTTTCTGAGGTATTTTCAACTGTTTCCCAAAGAAGCTATAGCACTTTATATTCTCACCAGCAATGAGCCTGAGAAATTTTTAAAACTTCAGATCTATTGAGTGCCAGTGAAATAAGAAACATTATAGTTCTTCCCCTTTTTGTGCTATTATGCATAGTTCATCTACATGTTACAGCCCAACAGTACTTTATAACTTTCATTAATGTCCCAAACTGAGAAAAAAACAAGTACATGTTGGCATCATTTTTATAAAACTCTTGCGAATCTTTTCTGGTTCCCCATTTGTTTTGTGAACTCAAGTTAATCATCTGGTGTCATTTCCTTACTCCAGTGCAGCTTTGCTCTCATCCATTTCCTTTGTGCTCTTAATGGCAATATAATACAGACCCCAATTGTATATATTGCTTTATATAGTTGCTCTGCAGATCAGACAAGAGGAAATATGCATTTACACTTTTATAATCACATATTTCTTTTATGCTGCTGGTGGCATGGTCCTCCTGAGAAGATACATAACCCTCAACAAGATGGCAAAGGGAGCCCTGCGTCCTTGGCTGCACCCTCCTGGAGTGTTGGTCACTCTGAGCTGAGAGGAGGCGAAAGACGTGAGTGGTGGTTCAAATACCACAAAGTCTGCTGTAGAGTTTTAGATGTTCTTGGTTCTCATTTGGCTGTATGCCCTTAGAACAATTTCCAGAGACTTTACATGGCTGTTCCGTTTAAATTTTACCAGGTAGGTTGTTTCACTGGGGAATGGTTTGCAGAGTTCCTTGTGCTGCCATTCCAGTAGTCAGTATTGCTTGGCTCTTTACAAGGTACTTTCACAGGTAATTTAATTTGTTCCTCACAAATATTTTAAAAAAGGATTTCTAGTCCTAAAAATGAAGTTCAGAGATGCTAATTTGCCTAAAATTACAAGGCTTGTCAGAGCCATGCGTTCATTCTTTCAGGCTTACTGTCTACACAGAAGACAGAAAATGGCAATTACAGTACAAAGGTAAGTGCTACAAGTGGTAAAATAGAAGCTACTTTAGGAAAATAATAGAAGAGCATCAGCTTTGAATAAGAATTTGAATCCAAGAATTTAGATTCCTGTTTTTCTTATAAATAGGAAGGACGAGTTTGCACAAAATAAACACTGTAGATTGATTAACAGGCTTGCCAGATGGCTTCCATTTCAGCCCAATTATTGCTGTTACCCTAGTCAGTGGTTGGCAAACTGCGGCTCGAGAGCCACATTCGGCTCTTTAGCCCCTCGAGTTTTTAGCAAAAGCCATCTTAGGAGTACCCTAAGTAAGTTAATAACAATGCCTACCTATATAGTTTTAAGTTTAAAAAATGTGGCTCTCAAAAGAAATTTCAATCATTGTACTGTCAATATCTGGCTCTGTTGACTGAGTTTTCGGACCACTGTCTTAGGTTATAAAATTAATTATATATAATTTGCTTAAAACTACCTAATGTAGTTTATTGCTCAAGAATTCTATTAGTGAGAAGTTGGCGTTAATACTGAACTTCCCCAGGGGCATACTTGTCAATTTCCTCTAAAATGATGAAATGCTGAACTTGTAAAAGCTGAAACAGGACACAGTGCTTACTTTGTTAACAAAACTGTTTCATTTACACTGACCACAGGGAGATTTAGGATAAATTAAAAAGTAACTTCAGGAAATGATGGGAACCTCTGTAGTTTTCTAGGTTATTTGTAGATTACCATAAATTTTTGAAATGTGATTAGTTCTGAATGTAATATAAAATACATATAACCTCATTTTAATTTTCTTTCCATAAAAAAATTGAAGCTTCTGTTAAAGTACTTTAAGATTCTAGTAAAAATAAATTAAGATTAGTATTTTTAATTCTTAGGTTTCTTTATGGAAACTAGTAAAATATTAACCTCAGTCAGTCTTGTTGCACGTTCTGGAAAATTAGGAACTGTTATGCCAAGTGCTCATGCCCTTCCTCATGCTAAATTTCTCCCCTAAGGCAGGAAATAAACTGAAATGTGGCTCAAAACATGGTTCTCAGCTCAACAGGACACAACCAGCTATTTGCAAGACTTCTAACACCCCCTTCTACTCCTAAAAGTAAATACTTTCCTGGGAAACTATTCTATTTGGGTATTAACTACTCCTCCAAAAATAGCCTACACTTTAAAATGTAGATTTTTAGATGTTCCCTCCCTTAGAACCACACACTTATGACCAAAAACAAAACTGTGTCAATGTTTCATGGAAAAGTGTCATTTTATTATTTACTAATGTAACTATTTGATGCAAAAGAAATGAAGGTAATTTTACTAAATCAAAATTTTTGCAAGTAAATGAAGTTTCAATTTTATTAGTTTTATATCACACTAGTTCAAATGCATTTCTCTATAACACTCCAACATAGCCCTTTGGAATTATTTCAGTTATCTGTAGAACATGTGACTTTATCACAGATTGAATCTCAAACAAACATAAAAATTTCAAATTATTAATATTTGGATGAAAGAGATAAGAAATAAGTCATTAGGTGATGGTTGGGATTGTTAATTTCCAATAAGACAGCGTGTTTAAATGTTTCTTCTGACATAGCAGTTATAAATTAAAACCTTCAAAAAACAAGGGCAGAACCAAACTATAATCAAAGAAGCTTCTGCAATGTAAGTCTCCCATAGTCCTCAGCCTGACAGAAGCAAAGTAAAGCATCTTTCCTGAAAACTAAGTGGGTTTCCAGTATTTTCATGCAGTTGAGTGAGACACTCAAGACTTATCATTAACATATATACCATCTTGGCTCTGGGTGCACTAATTATGCCTGAAGAGCTTAATACCCATCCACGTCCACAGGTGGAAGAACACGTACACGGGGATGGTAATGGGCAGGAGCAGACTGTAGAAGCACAGGCTGGCTGTGCTAGTGCAGCCCTGGGGGAAGTTTTCGTCCACGGAGGCCGAGTAGAACAGTCCTGCCAAAGAGATAAATGGAATGAGGACAGTCAGCGTAGGAAGAGACAGAAACATTCTCCTCTTCCACTTATTACCTGCCACCCTGACTTTTTAAAGGGCAGAAGGTATTTTAAAAATCTGGTTGTATGTGTTGTTTGTAATTATGATCTAGTGCTGCTCCATATCTTCTTGCTTCTTATTTTGAGTTGTCATCATCCTAGCTGCCTGGGGTATCATATTAGGGATCCCATCAATAATTGGATAGGCTATTCCCAATTCTTCATTAATCAATTCATTTGTCGATGCTTCATATCTGAGGGGGGAAAAGAAGAAATGAATTGTGAGAAACACAATACTGGGAAGAGCCTGAAGTTCAAATTCTTTTTCATTTCATTTTCAATGAATGCATTAAAAAAAAAAAAAAAATACCAGTCAGAAACGCTCCACCCTTTCCATTCAACTATTCCTTCACCACTCTGGTCACCCTCAAACCATCCCAGTTCCTTTACTACTGAAAGGATACGAGAGGAAAATTCAACTTCCTCCTTTTAGAATGCATGAGAGTAAACTAACTGGTCCATTAAAAGGAAATCACTGAAAAATCAAACACACAAAAAAGTTTGAGAAAGATAAAAGGGCAGAAATGAGAAAACTGGGAAACAGCCCATCTGTAGTGAGCTAGCAAGGGAGATAGATCAAGGGATAATTTCAATGTTTAAGAAAATTTAATATGTTCCGTATGGGGGGGGGGGGGTGGAAATCTAGAAAGGAAAATGCAAAAAGAGGAAAATTAAAATTACTATCAATCACCACCCAAGCGTGGTACCACTCATAACACTGTGGTGGCTGGTAGATTCCATCTGCAGTGATCGTGTTCAGTGTTGTGCTGTAACCCCATCTTACAAAGAACGCCTCAAAAAAAGTCGAGTTATGGAGTCATTTATTAAAGGCCAGCGGCATACGAGGGAGCAAAAGCGCTCCATACCTCGCAGCCCCGAACTGCTTTGCCAGGCCTGGCTTATATTGGCAGAATATCACAAAGGTATCGATTACATCTTTGGGTCTGGAAAAGGAACCTGTTTTTCGATTTTACAGAGGTGAAACTGAGCAAGTTAGTTATCTAAAGTATCTACAAATCACTGAATCCACAGAAGCACATTATCTGGGACGGACCAACTGGACAATTTAGAGCAACTGTGCAGCCCAGATTCTGGGATCACTGAGTCAACAGGAATGCACTCTCTGTACCTTCTGAGGCAACTCGGGCTAATGGATCAGTCTTGGGTCCCAGAAATGTGCTTCGGTGACCAGTGAGATCACAAACAAGGGGACATTCAAACCATCATCAATGGAGTTTTGGGATGGCATACATACGTTCAGAAAATCAAAGTAACTTTTAAATGAGTACAGAACCCAAAATAGCAAGGTTAAAATATTAAACAGCGGCCGAAGGCCGAGACCTGTTTGGCTCAGTGGATAGAGCGTCCGCCTGCAGATTGAAGGGTCCCAGGTTCGATTCTGGTCAAGGGCATGTACCTTGGTTGCGGGCACATCCCCAGTGGAGGGCCTGGACCTGGAGAGTGGTTTGCCCGGAGGACTCTGCAGCTGAAGGCTAAGGGGGCCCTGACAAAGGCCCGGTGACCCTGAACTAAAGGCCAAAGGGCAGCACACGCAGCCGGCACCCTTTGGACCTGGAGGCCACCACAGGCTTCTGCATCATCTGGGCTGAGAGACCGCGGTGCCTCGGCCTCGGCCTCGGCTTCGTCCTCATCCTGAACACACACTTCACACACCTGGCTGGGCTGGGTCCGGACCTTCCCCATATGCGGTGGAGCCCGGGAGTCGTCGTTTTTTTTTTCTTAAATATATTTTATTGATTTTTTACAGAGAGGAAGGGAGGGGGATAGAGAGCTACCCTGTTTTCCCGAAAATAAGACAGTGTCTTATATTAATTTTTTCTCCCAAGGTTGCGCTAGGTCTTATTTTCGGGAAAACACGGTAGAAACATCGATGAGACAGAAACATTGACCAGCTGCCTCCTGCACACCCCCCCTCTGGGGATGTGCCCGCAACCAAGGTACATGCCCTTGACCGGAATCGAACCCTGGACCATCCAGTCCGCAGGCCGACGCTCCATCCACTGAGCCACACCGGTCAGGGCCGGAGTAGGTCCTCGGGTGGTTCCAACGCGCCGCAAAGGCGAACCTATAACCGCTCCGATGCGGGCGGTGAGGTTCGGGAGGCCGGGGCTCGGCTCCCTCCCCTCCGGCCTCCGCCCGCCCTTTCCTCCCGCCGCCGGGGGAGGAGCGTGGGAGCCGGCGGGGCCCCCAACGTCAGGTGACCAGACGCCCCGGTTTTCAACTATGTGTCCCGCGGCGCCTTAAAGAAAAAGTCCCGAGTTTTTTAAAAACTCATCCCCGGTTTCCAACATTGTGTCTCGCGGCGCTTTAAAAAAAAGTCCCGTTTTTTTTGTTTTTTTTTTTAAATCATTCCGATTTTCAACAATCTGTCCCGCGGCGCACTTAAAAAAAAAAAAAAAAAAAAAAAAGTCCCGATTTTTTTTTTTGGCGGGGCGGGGGGAAGGAAACACAAACCAAAAAACCGAACATCCCGATTCTCAACAATTTGTCCCGCGGCGTTTTAAGAATAAGTCCTAAAAATCGGGACTTTTTTTTTTTTTAAACGCTGCGGGACAGATTGTTGGAAGTCGGGACGCCTGGTCACCTGACCCAACATGGCGGCGGTGACTCCGGGACGGACCCCAGGCTCCCGGCGGCTGCCGGCAGCGGCCGCGGTCCCCGCCCTCCCCGCCCCGGAGCGGCGGGCGGCCCTCACCGGAGCGGCTTCTTGGAGAGCGGGCACACCAGGAACTCCAGCAGCGCCGGGTCGAAGGCCTGGGACGGCCCTCCGGGCCTCTCGCTCTCGTCGGCCGCCGGCCGCGACCCCGACACGCGCAGGCACCTGCGGGCGACCGTGGACGGCGGCGGCGCGCGTGTCCCCCGCAGCACGGAGCCGAGCCTGCCCGCGCTCAGCATGATCCGCAGGCCGCCACTGCCCTCCGCCCCGCCGCGCAACTGACCCCGCGCGTCCCGCCGGCCGGCCAGGTCCCGTCCCGCCCCCTGGTCCGCCGGGAAGGCGGTGCGACCGGCGGGGCGAGCGCTTTGGTTCCGAGCGCGTTCCTGACCCGGCTGCTATTCCCGGGGCACCGCTCCGTGGCTGAGGGCTCGGCCTGCCGCCGGCGCCCCCTGCTGGCTGTTCTACGGCGTTTGTAAACGACAGACAGAAACGGAGCTTTGTGGGCTCAGACCTAGAGCGAGGAGGCACCCAGGGTTAGGCTGGGACCTACGTGGTTACCTGCAAAATGACGTTTCAAACCCTCCTATCGTATTGGGTATGTTTAAAGCATTCATTTGTTTTATGTGAATCTTTACCACCGGTTCTGTAATCTGGTTTTTGGCGTTTTTATTTTTCTTCTCTCACTTAAAAATAAATAAAATTTAAGAACCTGAAAAAGAGCCAAAACCGGTTTGGCTCAGTGGACAGAGCGTCAGCCTGTGGACTGAAGGGTCCCCGGTTCGATTCCGGTTGCGGACACATCACCAGTAGGATACATGCAAGAGGCGGCTGATAGATGATTCTCTCTCATCGATGTTTCTAACTCTCTATCCCTCTCCCTTCCTCTCTGTAAAAAATCAATAAAATGTATTTTTAAAAAGTCCTGATTTTCCCCAATATTACTTTAAAAAAAAAACCTGAGAAGAATGGCTTAGTCCCCTTTACAGTCCAAGACGTCCATATACTCTTACCCTGTAAGATTCATTTTGAATTCAGCTGCGTGATAACGCACAGTTAATTTATCTCTCTCAATGAGCTTGGAGACAGCAAGAGCCTAGATACCTGTGCAATCAGACAGGTGCTTATTAAAGGGGGGGTGATCTGTTGTGGGTTTCTGTCGCCCCAGGTTTGTCTGACTCTCGAGGGGATGATACGGGTTTCATCTCTTGTCCTGTAGTAGGTGGGAGAGTTTGGGCTCTGGGCCTGACAGCTGGGCTCTGGTTCCAGAGTTGACTAGCTGTTTGACTCCAGCAAATGACTTAACTATTCAATTTTCTCATTTGTATATTAAGATTAATAACTGTTTCTCCCCCGAGAAATTTCCTTGTGGGGATTACTAGGTGATAGTGAATTCAAAGAGCATTTAGAAAAGAGCCTGGGACAAATCAATGCTCAGTTAACGTTACCATTATTTTCATTTTCCCTATTCTTCTGTACACTTGGAGATTCTTTTTTAGTCACCAGTGTTTCCCCGTTATCTTGCTGACTATTGATTTGAACCTTTTCTGCCTCATTGGGCTGGACCATTTCACACTTTGAGCTCCTGGGAGGTGGGGATGGGAGTGAGGGATATACAGATACAAATAGAAGATTATATTTTCAAACTTGTCTTCCACTCAGCGATGTAAAAATAAATTGAGAAATCGGTGTATTGTTTGTTTACTCTATTTTTTAAAATCCACTACATTACTGGATGCTCTTTGTTTACTAACGCTGAAAATATTTTAGCATAGAGCAGTTGTCAGGGCTATAGGACTAGTATAAAGTTCCTATGTGACCTTCACATTATTTCCTATGAGGGCACGAATTAATTTTTTAGTTTGCAGTTAGTTGATACGCTGTGCCCTCGGGAGGGAGTGAACTATAGGGCAGATGTTTCAGTGAGGGCTGGGGAAGCAAAGCTTGGCTTCTACCACAACTTAGTGGGCTCAGACCAGGCTGGACAGGCCACGGGTCTCGGCCCCTGTGGCATAGGGGCAGGCACCCATGTAAGGCCAACTTCATTAGCCTCCCCTGCCTGGCCTGGTGGACAGATCCCGATCAAGTGGGTTTTCTAACCAGTTATAAATAAATTAGTTTCAGATTGCCTCCACCTAGAAGGTTGGAAGCAGATCAGTTTAATTTGTGTTAGTATTAGGGGGGAAATGGAGTGTAAGAGCAAATTATTGAAAAACAAATGTATAGCACCAAAAACCTATGACCGATATTTTAGGAACATCTGAGTGTGGGATGTATTAATCCAAACCATGTAAATGTTAAGTTGCAAAATGTTCCTAAGCAGCCCCCAGTAATTAAGGAATATAGCTCATTTCTGCATGTGGTATACTAAGCTGAAAGTAGATGACAGTATAGACCTGTAAAATCATTAGTCCTTTTTTATTGTTGGGGTGACTATTACCTCTCCCATCTTAGAGCCCTACGCACACATGTAATAACATGATGGGCTCCAGGCTAAAGCACCTAATTAGCTGTGTGACCTTGGGGAAGCTGCTGAACTCCTCTGCCTCAATGTTTTCCTTTGTAAAATACAGGCATCCCTCTTTCTATTGTGTTTCACTTCATTGGAATTCACAGGTGGTGTTTTGTTGTTGTTGTTGTTGTTGTTTTTTGTTTTGTTTTTACAAACTGAAGGCAAGACTCCTCACCAGCAAAAATATTACGACTCACTTTATTATGATATTTATTTTATTGCAGTGGTCTGGAACCGAGCCTGAAATAGCTCCCAGGCATGCCTCTGGCATAATATTGTAATAGTACCTGCTTTATTAGAGTTGCTGAGAGGCTCAAGTCAAATAATACAAGTAAAGCAGTTAGCACAGGGTTAGCACAGACTGCAATGAAAAAGTATGTCATCAGCAGCAAAATTACTTTTTTTGTGGTAAAGTTGGTGAATATTCTAATTCAGAAACGTTGACCAGCCTGGCTGGTGTGACTCAGTGGCTGAGCATCCACCCAGGAACCAAGAGGTCGCCGGCTCAATCCCCTGTAGGGGTAAGTGCAGGAGGCAGCCGATCTATGGTGTTTCTCTATCATCAATGTTTCTATCTCTCTATCCTTCTCCCTTCCTCTCTCTCTAAAAAAATCAATAAAAACATCTTTTTAAAAAAAGAATAGATTTATCTTTTTTTTTAAATGTTGACAAAAGAAGTCCAGTCTAAGAAGAAGTCGTAGGAGAGTTTATTTGAGCCAAATTGACAACAATTGCTGGGAACCAAAATCTCAACTGGTTGGGGAAATATTCTGGAGAGTGGCTGTTTTATAGCTTACTTTATAAATTAGAATCAAAGGAGCAGACATAATTACATGAAATTCACTGGTGGTAGATTAGAGAGGTGGAAGAAAGCATAACAGGGAAATCTCTGAGATTGTAGCAAAGGTAAAATGGAGAGATGCATACTTCTTTTACATTGGTGGGTACAGGGTAGTTAATAATTAACAGTTACAGCACATAGAGATGGAATGTGGGCAATAACATAATGAGGGGTTCTGTGCTATGGTGAAAAGTTGAAGCCTGAGGGCTCAAAAAAAGGAGATTATTCCGACATTCCAAAGCGATGGTATCTTAGGTGTCAAAACACAGGCTTACTTAAGGTAAAGACTGACCTTTGTGAAGGAAGCTACAGGCCTAGGATGTGACTGCCCACCATGACCCACTTAGAGTCAGGCATTTTTATGTTCAGCTCGTCCCGTGTGGTTGCTTTCAGTCTCTGAGTTCGCAAGGCTCTTCCTACTGGCCTCCCATGAACTTGTTAGGTTTGGTAGGTACCCTCTTTTCATCCACAAAATGGACAGCACAATGTACCACTGGGCACCTTAATTTTAACCGATACAAATGTTTATAGTTTCTAATGTAGATAATATTGAAATACGCTCTTGGGTTATCATATACATTAGGTGAGTTCAAAATCTCCAAGCAGAGGAGAGAATAGAATATAAATTTTAAAAGGTCCCATAAATACCAAATTTGGGAAACTCTGTTCCAGAAAGAGAAGTTGAAACTAATTTTCCACTAGATGGCATCCTTCAATATTTGAACTAATATTATTTCTGCTTATACTTTTCTTTCTGTGATTACAAAGATTTGTTTTTATTTTGCCAGTGCTTTCCTTAATTTTGTGAAATCTATTTTAGGTGGAAAAAATCACACACAAAAAAAACATTTTATTGATACGTTGCAATTATAATGAGTTCATTAAAATCAAGGGTCCAATCAAAAAATGGACAAAAGGTATGAGAAAAATCATGAAAGAGAAAATGCAGTTACTCAATAAACACATAATATATTCATCCTCAATAGTAAGTAATGTAAAGTAATGTAAATTTTAAACATCAAATAAGTTTTCATTTCCCAATTTGAGTAATTGGGTCACATGATTATGGAGGCTGAGAAGTCCCATGATATACTTTCTGAAAGTTGGAGGACCAGTGGAGCAGATGGTGTAAATCCCAGTCCAACAGTGTCCAACGGCCAAAGAGCACATATGCCCCTGCTCAATCAGCCAGGTAAGAAGCAAAAGGTTTGACTTCCTTCTTCCTTTGTCTTTGTGTTCTATTCAGGCTATGAGTGGATTGGATTATGCCCGTCTACAATGGAGAAAACAATCTACTTTACTGAATCCACTTATTCAAATGCCAATCTCATCTGGAGACACACTCACTAGCATACCCAGAAATAACGTTTAATATGGGAACCCATTGGCCCAGTCAAATTGACACAAAAAAATTACCCATCACTGTCCTAGAGATTAGAGCTTCTCTGTACCATTATTTAGCATTAAAATAAAAAGTCAATATAACAACACAGAAAATGATTATCTATATATATTATCTATATACATAAAACCCTAATATGCAAATAGACCTAATGGTGTAACAACCAAACAACCAAACAACCGGTTGCTGTGACATGCACTGACCACCAGGAGGTACGAGCAGAACATAGTGGGCATTGGCAGGAAGCAGTAGAGTGTGGGACATGGCAGGTGTCAGCCATGGCAGGATGGTGGAGCAGGTGAGTGGGGGCACCAGACCAAGGTGTGGAGCCAGCAGCTGTTATTGGGGTGAGCCTCTGATGGTTACTGGAAATTATTTGCTCCTGGCACCATGGTCCTGCCAGGTGCTCCCATCTGCTACTGGCACCTGGCACCGGTATTGATTGCTCAGCATTGTCAGCAGGTGTGAGTGGAGGCTGCCAATCACCCCTGAGAGCTTCTCCATCTCTCCCTGCTCCTAACGGGTAATCGGGGCAGCAGCCACTGTTTCCACCCGTTGACAGTG